CTAATTTTTCATTCATATTTTCTAACTTGGTTTCCAGATGTCGCACTTGACCTTTATGAACACGATATTTCTCTTCCAATTCTTCATCCTTGGCCCGCATGTTTTCTTCATGTTGGGCGAGCAGATATTTTTCGTGGGCCTTCGCATTTCTCAATATCCGTTCACTTTTTTCAACTTCGATTTTTATTTGAGAACGCAGTTTGATTACTTGCCCCTGCAGAGATTGTAAATTGTGTTCATAGGCTCGCATTTGTCCGTGCAAACCATCTTCCAATTCTCTGTCGTAATCTTCCTTTTTTTCTACGTAGTTTAATTGTCTGCTTTCTTCCAATTGTTCTTCCCAAGTTGAATAGTCACATTTTACGGAGAGCATCCATCCTAATGGAGGTTTCATCGACTCTTCGATTTCATCATCGATGTACATATCTGTGGATTTCCGACTCCGAGTTGTTAGAAGTTTCATTGCCGACAGTAAACACATATCCACCTCACATGGTAATGCATTCATATGGCTTGGAAGATATTTTTGGTATATCCTCAAGTACCGTCGTAACTGGTAATATGTATTTTCTACCAGTACTTTCCATGCCTCGACGTGTTTCACTTTTTCAAAGGTTGACGTCGACGTTAACACCTCGAAATAGTCTGCCAAAGTGGTGACAGCTTCTTCTATGTCTTTGAACATTTTTGAATGAATTTAAAATTTTTTAGATGGGACTCTTTGTCCTCTTTTCAAAACTATGTATATATATTTTTTTTTTATTTGGGACTTCTGTTGTCCTCTTTTCGTTTTATTTTTATTTTTGCCCCTATGGCTTTTTTTTTTTTTTTTTTTTGCCCCTATGGCTTTTTTTATTTTGCCCCTATGGCTTTTTTTTTTTTTTATTTTGCCCCTATGGCTTTTTTATTCAAATTAGTCCCTTCGGCTATTTCAAAATGCCCCTATGGTCTTATATTTAAAATGCCTTAACGGACTTTGTTTTGTGTAGAAATTCTCCTCTATTTCTGGAGAATATCTATTTCTGCTTGTAGTGAGTCTCTTACCACTGGTGGGGGAAAACTCCTACAATTTTTTACGGCCGCTAGTTATTTCCACTTTATAAAAAAGTGAAGGCTCGATTGACCAATGTTAGCGGGAGAATCAAATTCTAGAACTTGTTTGTTCGTTTGTCAGTTTAATTCTAATTTTATTGAACAAAATGTATTACTTAAGTGCTAGTACACAACAGAAATCTTAGGGGGGTTTAATCTTATGCATCTACTTAAGGCTACAAACACTTGACATTTCTAATTCTATGCATAGGCCTAATGCAACACACAATTGCTGTGATCTATATTTACTCCCCAGCTGAGCGCATGTTTATGGGAGAATATTCTTTATTATCAATGCGTCTCCAGCAGCATGAAGTGTTATCATCCCTTATGCTCTTATCTTTCATGCACACACATTTACAAGTACTCTAGAATGTTGGGTTAAAATTACATAAACATTTTATAGCCTAAATCACTTAACGATCTAATTTATTGCAGCAGTCTTTCATGTTCATAGTTTTATGAACACCTGTGAAATCATGCCCTTCATATGACATTGGTATAATCGAAAGAGTTCATTCGTATAAAAGCGTTCGGATCATTTGTGAATCGTGGATTTTCAACAGAAATTTTTGGGAAAAGGATTCTTTAATGACTTTCGAGTAGTTGATTTTACCTACAAATAATAAAATTAACTTCGAGTTTTTTAAAAACAAATTTGTATCCTCAGAAATGATGGCTATTATATTGTTGGCAAGTCGGTTTTGTCGACCAATATATACTCTCAGCTTATGTCTAATAATAAACTATATTTTCACTTTATTATTCAAAATGTTTATCCTTTATTGGGATGGTACCAATATTTTAAATTCCGCAAACGAACAAAGTCTGAAATATATTTATTGCGACGTGCCAGGCCTACTTCTTCTCTATATTTGAGAAAGATGTATAGATTTTTTGAATAACTAGCAATCAATATTTTTTATATTTTATGGTGGAGGTGCCAGAAGGAGTGGACCAATATTTTCCATATTTATATTTTTTTAAAAAATTATAGTTTACAATTTGTGGAGCAGGTAACTTAAAGAATGGACCGATGCGTTCCATATTCTTAGTAGAACTAATGTAAATGAAGGTGTAGCTTTGTGCGAAGTTAGAGGAAACATAGAAAAACTTAATTTATTTAAAATGTTGACCACAACCCCCTCCCCCTTTGGGGGAGGTATCTAAAGGAGAGGGTGGAAAAATTCTATCTTCACATCAGATCTTGAATTTAGTCGAAGATTTTGAATGTTATAAGGGTTATAAATAGGCAAAATGTTGACCCTTTTTGGAAGAGAGGTACCCGAAAGAGTAGTCCGATATATTCCATATTTACAACAGATCTTATGTTGGTAGAAATATTGGACATCGAAGACAACTTTAATTTCACGTTTTAAAAGATTTATGGATGGATGTGGGATGGATGATGGAGTGGAAATACATATTCTGTATTATCACTAGATCTTGCATTTACAGGGTGAGATAAAAAACTGCAACAAAGTCAAATTCCATAATTTAATTAATTTTTTTTTATTAATTAATTAATTTTTAATTTTATTGAATGAAAGCAAAAAATGTCGGAAATGGCATTAAATTTCAGATTACGTTTAGATTTGTTCGAATTGGTCACCGTTGGCACGAATTATGGCCTTCAAATGAAACCGTCACAAATGTCCGAATGTTGCTCTGCGGTATTTTGGCCCAATCAAGACGAAGCGCTTGCTTGAGATGATCGACACTTTGGCATTTTTTAGTGCCAGCCTTGCTTTCCAAAATACTCCAGACCCAATAGTCCAACGGATTGGTATCCGGAGATTTTGGTGCCAATTGTGTGCTGAAGCGAGGAACCTCATTTTGTAACCATTCTTGGATAGTCCGTACTGAGTGCAATGGTGCTGATGTTCCGTGCTGAGTGCTGTGGTGTTGAGTCCTGTTGGAATGTCCAAGGTCTGTCCCAAGGCTTTAATACACCCACCAGAATATTTTCGCTCTAATATTCGGCATTTATTATATTCGGCACGATCGATTAATACGAACGGAGAGCGAGAATCGGCTGTTATGGCGACCATCACTATGGCCGGCGCTTGAGTTCTTTTGGCCAATCGAAGGTGCACATTTTTAGCTGACCTCTTTGGCAAGCAAACACGATCACTTGGTTTGTTGGACAATGAATGTTTTCTCATCGGAGAAAACCAAATTCGGCAGTTCACCACTTTTGGCCAAGCGAGGCAACTCGGTAGCTCTTTTGAGTCTATTTTCTTTCTGTTGCGGTGTAAGTTCTTGCACTTTTTTGAATTTCAATGGCTTTACCCCGAGCTCATTTTTCAACTGCGACGCGGGTTTCGATCAAGTCGCTTCTTTACTTTTCGAGCAGTTTCTGCTGATGTTGATGTTTTCTTCGGTCCACTTTCTTGACTACGGAATCACGGTAATGAGCGGTGGTACAAGACACAAAAGATTTATTCACATTTAAATGATGGAGTGCTCCAACGATAGCCACTTGTGGTTTTCCAACCAAATATAAAGAAATCACACTATCACGCTTGAATTCCATCACGAATATTTTTTTTTCTGGAGAATTCTCACCAAAATGCTTGTGTACGCTTGTAAATAGTCGGACGTAAAAGCTGTCGGACGAGTGGCTTGGAAATGACAGCAGTCTGAAGTTGGTAGCAGTTTTTTTCATCTCACCCTGTTTAAATCATTATTAAACGATATCTTGCAGCCAAAAACAAGTTCCATGATATTTGGCCAGTACACCTCTTTGACACGTCTTAATAATTATGTTATGGTTTCTAGTCTTAACCCGTTGGAAACAACTTGATTTTCGTAGATTTTAGATTTTTAGTTATCTTTTCATGGACCAAGGCAAGAACAACAAATCTTTGTGGTTTTTTTAGGTATGGGGATCCCTTTCTAATAAGGTTAGAGAGCGAGAATCATCTAAGTCGATTTAGCGATGTCTGTCTGTTGTAATCACGCTATCTTTCGAACGAATTGAGATAGAAGGATAAATTTGCACACATGTTTATTTTTCCAGTAGGCAGGTTAAGTTCATAAATGGGCCATGTAAGTCCACGTTTTCATATAACCCCCATATAACGGTACCTCCCAATATTCGATATTTTGATTATTTTAGCGTCATTATTCACCGGAATTGTTTCAAATTACGTATTTAGAGTTCGTAATGGGAACTACAGTCTGTGACAGAAAATTGTCTATGCAGATCCAGGTCTTCGTATAGGCCCCATATACCAGTACGTCCCTATATTGGGTATTTTGACGAGTTTAGGTACAATATTCGCCGAAATTGTTTGAGATGTCGTATTTGAAGTTCGTAATAGATGCTACACCCTGTGACAGAAAATTGTCTATGCTGGTCCAGGTCTTCGCACAGCTCCGATATAAAAGTGCTTCCTATATACGATATTTTGATGATTTTAGCTATATTACTCACCGTTTATTTCAAGTTGCGAATTTGAATATGGTAACTTACTTATGACAAGCAACGCCTATGTATGTTGGGGTCCACGTCGTATAGACCCCAATATAACAGCTATATTCGGTATTTTTAAAATTTTAACAGAATTTTTTTAAGGATTTTATTTTTTGAAATTTTTCAAATTCGTTCCATATGGTGGAGGGTATTTAAAGTTCGACCCGGCCGAACTTCCTGCTTTTTAACTTGTTTTTTTAGTTTAGTGTCGCTAAAATTCTGACTCCCTTACTTACTCGCTTCTTTAAACGTTTTTCAATCAATTTACTCCCGAAGAGAATTTATTGACACTATTATAAATATTTGTATGAATCTGAGAACCTTTATTCAGTTTTCCTCACCTTAGAAAAAAAAAACTGTCCAAATCGCTGAAAATGTTTTAAAAACAAATAACTTCAAATGTTCGCATATATACCTGTATATTTTTTAGAAAAAAATCCAAACTGTCAAATGCAGCCGCCGCATTCACCGAGGGCAAATGGAGTACAAGAGATGTGCATGATACCAAATTCAATGAGGATAAACTTTCCATACAATTTCGAACGGGGCGTTTAGGTAAGATTACCGCAGCGAATGACACCGCAATGCCAGAACACACACACAAAAACACACACACATACTTTGGCACACATACCGCTATTTGCGTAACATGGTATTGCACTTAAATCCTAAGGCATAAAACCAGTACACCAAAAAAAAAACACAGATCTGGAGGTAGTTCAATACCCATTTTCCGGCTATATCCTCACATTACATTTACATGCGGGTATAACAGCGATTTCCAGCATTCTAGCTTATTGATATTGGCTGCTGTCGGCAGCAAAAAAACATGCAAAAACAAGTAACTTTTTTTCTCTCTCTCCCTCTTTCAACTGCATCTATGGTAAAACATCACATCACAACAACTAAAATACAATCGTATCGGTTTGTCAACAAGGTATTTTTGGATTTGCCTTAAATCGCTACAGCAATATGCCCTATCAGACATGGGAAATAAAACCGGATTTAAAGAAGTGAGTAGTCACGACGCACAAACGAAAGATCCAAAAAAGGTTGAAATGAAAAAAATGTAAAATTATTTATTTCGTTCTAGTCTTTGTACTAGCTCTAATCAGTATATTGACTCTTTTCAATATATTGACTATGGTCTACATATTGACCTTGGTCATCATATTGACTTTGGTCAAAATATTGGCTCTGGTCAATATATTGGCTCTGGTCAACATATTGACTCTGATCAACAAATTGACGCTATATTGATTCTGGTCAACATATTGATTCTGATCAACATATTGACTCGGGTCAACATATTGATCGGGTCAACATATGGACTCCGGTCAATATATTGACTCCGGTCAATATGATGACAACGGTCAACATATTGACTCAGGTCAAAACATTGACTCCGGTATATATATTGACTCCCAAAAATATATTGACTCCGGTCAACATATTGACTCTGGTCAACATAATGGCTCTGATCAACACATCGACTCTGGTCAACATATTGACTCTGGTCAACATATTGACTCTGGTCAATATATTGACTTCGGTCAAAATATTGACTTCAGCCAATATATTGACTTCGGTCAACATATTGACTCTGGTGAACATATTGACACTGGTCAACATATTGACTCTGGTCAACATATTGACCCTGGTCAACATATTGACTCTGGTCAACATATTGACTCTGGTCAACATATTGACTCTGGTCAATATATTGACTTCGGTCAAAATATTGACTTCAGCCAATATATTGACTTCGGTCAAAATATTGACTGTGGTCAACATATTGACTCTGGTCAACATATTGACCCTGGTCAATATGTTGAGACTGGTCAACATATTGACTCTGGTCAACATATTGACTCTGGTCAACATATTGACTCTGGTCAATATATTGACTTCGGTCAAAATATTGACTTCGGTCATTATATTGACTTCGGTCAAAATATTGACTTCGGTCAATATATTGACTTTGGTCAATATATTGACTTCGGTCAATATATTGACCGAATTGTTGACAAGAGTTAATATGTTGACCGAAGTCAATATATTGACTTCGATCAATATATTGACTACGGTCAATATATTGACTTCGGTCAACATATTTACTCTTGTCAACATATTGACTTCGGTCAACATATTAACTCTTGTCGACATATTGACCCTGGTCAACATATTGACTCTTGTCAACATATTGACTCTGGTCAACATATTGACCCTTGTCAACATATTGACTCTGGTCAATATATTGACTTTGGTCAACATATTGATTCTGGTCAGCATGTTGACTGGTCAACATCTTGACTTCGGTCAAAATATTGACTACGGTCAATATATTGACTTCGGTCAATATATTGACTTCGGTCAATTTATTGACTTCGGTCAGTATATTGACTTCTGTCAATTTATTGACTTCGGTCAATATTTTAACTTCGGTCAATATATTGACTTCGGTCAATATATTCACTTCGGTCAATATATTGACTTCGGTCTATATATTATCTTCGGTAAATATATTGATTTCAGTCAATATATTGACTCCGGTCAATATATTGGCTTCGGCCAATATATTGACTTCGGCCAATATATTGACTTCGGTCTATATATTATCTTCGGTTAATATATTGATTTCGGTCAATATATTGACTCCGGTCAATATATTGACTTCGGTCAATATATTGACTTCGGTTAATATATTGACTTCGGTCAATATATTGGCTTCGGTCAAAATATTGACTTCGGTCAAAATATTGACTTTGGTCAATATATTGACTTTGGTCAATATATTGACTTTGGTCAATATATTGACTTCGGTCAAAATATTGACTTCGGTCAATATATTGACTTCGGTCAAAATATTGACTTCGGTCAAAATATTGACTTCGGTCAACATATTGACTCCGGTCAATATATTGACTCTAGTCAAAATATTGTCTCTAGTCAAAATGTTGACTCTAGACAAAATATTGACTCTAGTCAACATATTGACTCTGGTCAATTATATTTTTTCTTCTTCAAATCTAACAAATTATCTCCTCTCAAATTCTGTTGTCTGCTGTTCATTTACATTGTTACCACTATTACCCTGTTTATTTAATTTGTTTTCCCCCAACTCTTCTCAATTCCCCAGCCCCGGAACGATACTTTTCAGTTTCACAGCATCACTGGTCAGTCTCGATATAACCATAACCTCAGAGGGTTATTGTGTCAATAATTTTCAAGGTGGCTCAACCACGGCCATTAATGAGATGATTGGTCGAACATTGTCATTGGAGGCGATTAAGGAGATTTTGATTTCTTCAGCTGTCGATATATTCCCCGATGAGGATGCTTTCTGCTATACGGAGGGTTCGTGCGAAAAGAACTACGTCATGGAAATGCATTTGTATGCGTGTATGTCAACATTGGCATTGTCACACAATTTCAGTTGGTCACGTTGGAATCTGTTGGCAGGTAGCCGGACTGCGGTCTTGTTAATCCGCGAATTGATAGAAGGCAAAAAAGTGGTAAGTGGGTGGGTGGGTGAGAATGAAAGAAAAAAACAAAACACGAAACAGGAGCGACAACAACAATAAAACGAAATAAATTGAATGTAGAAATGTGATTCGATTAGTGGAAGTGGCTGCGAGAGAGCCGTACGAAGAATTCTCGTGGGATAAATACGGTGTGAAAATGTCCCTTGAGCTTATGTTTGTGTGTGTTTTAAATTACTAGTCATTTTTAGGATTTTCAGGATTAGGATTTCTATGGAAAATATTTAATTTGAGTATGGACCAATGGTAGCTTACCAACTGAGAGACTTCTCTGAACATTTTGAAAAGTGCTCACCTGAAATAAAAGGAAAGAAAGAAAAAAACGATTATTAAATTAAATTTAATTTTTTTGGAAATTTTATTTAATTTTGTTGTTGCGAATTATTTATTGTTATTTTTATTTAAAAATATATATATTTTTTTTAGCCCAACCACTCTACATTGCTGGTAACACCCTTGAAAACTGCCATCATCGATTGCACTGAAGTTTCGGCTAGTTTCAATTCTTTGGGTATCACCGGTATGGAATATTATGCCGATCTCTATCAGCTGGCTCAAGTCCATGCTCAGCCGTGTAGCCTTGAGAAGCAACGCACCATGGATCCAATGCTAAGGGACAACGTGGCCACCATATTAATGGCCATACGGCCCTTGAGTTTTTGTTAAATTTCCGTAGAACGAAACAAAAAAAAACAGAACAAAAGGAAGTGAAGGAACATAAAATAAGGTATTTTGAATGTAATTTAGCTGACACTAAATCATAAGAGAAGACAAAAAACAGAAATGAAATTCTCCCCCTTGAGCAGCTATGAAGAGCTAAATTAAAAAAATTCCCACATTTTTTTTTCTTTTTTTTTTTTTGTTTCATTTTTCTTGCCATCATATTTAGCTCGTTCCGCACACGTTTGAAAGAAAACTTAATTGGTAAACTGAATACAGCGTCATTAGAGCAGCAAGCACCGGCAGAAGCAGTAGCAGCAACAACAACAGCCATGAAACCTTTATTTTTTCGTAAACGAGGAGGAGGAAGAAGAAGACGATGAAAGGTGGAAATCGGGTTAAGTGAGCCTTTTGTCAAGTGCAATTTTCGAAGAGCAAATGAGACGAAAGCAATTGTGAAGCAGCGTCAACTTGCAAGGATGTGCAGAGGTGTATGCTGATGATGATTTTCTTTAAACACTTAATACAGGGGCCACTAAATGGGGCAATTTCTTAAATATAAGACTATACATTTGTATTCAAAACAATAAAAATTATTTTTACATAATATTAAAAAGGAAAGTTAGAGGGTGCAAAATGTGCTCATATCTCTTCTGGTTCCGAAGATTTTAGTGATAAACTTAAATGTGCCTAATCTTTAAAATTTCTTTAAGCAGTCGGTAGTTTCCTAGTCTTTATAGCTTTTGTAAAATAAATTTAAGCCTTGATTTCTTCCTGAGGATTATGTCCGAAAAAACTACTCCAACATCTCCAAAGACACCCCTCAGAAACCGACAGCAACCTTAATATAGAATTTTAGAATTTTGCCCCTATCCCTTCACCAAATACCAAATTCAGTACAACTTAGTACGCATATCCAAAACAATCTACATCATTCCCTCTAAGACACCAGGATTGATCCAAAATTAGTACCTTTTAATACTTATTGAACAATTATAGAACACATTATAGCGCACAACAGCCATCAGGTCTCAACAGCAGCTACCAACAGTGACATCCGTATCAAATTTCATTCCATATCAATTTAAGTAATAATCGGCAAAACCGTTCCATATCTCAATCTTAGGGACTACAGCTCTATTCCTTCACCCAATACCAAATTTAGTACCATTTAGTATTTTTTGCGCAAATATAGAACTCACCTCTAAATCCATTGAAAAATCTCAATTCCAGATACCAACACAAATCTCAATACCAAATATAGTGCCTCTAAATACTTTTCGTACAATTTTAAAACTCAATTGCAAAACCGTTCCAAGACACCTACATTTATCGCAACATAAAATTCCAAGGTTTCATGTCTACCCCTACACTCAATACGAAATTTAGTACCACTTAGTACTTTTCGTACAACTATAGTACTCATTTCTCAAGACACACTTTGTACTTTTCGTACAAATATAGTATTCATTTCTCTCTCTCTCTCTCTCTCTCTCTCTCTCTCTCATTTCTCAAGACATCAACAGTTATGGCAACACAAAAATTCACGGCATCAGCTCTCTCCCTTCACTTAATACGAAATTTAGTACCACTTAGTACTTTTCGTACAAATGTAGTACTCATTTCCAATCCTACTGCCAAGTTTCAATCCTATATACTAAGAGAGACCTCAATACAAAATTTAAGGACTCCACTACTACCCTTCACTAAGTCCCCAATTTAGTTCCACTTGGTACTTTTCGAGCAATTATAGTACACATTTCGAAACCCACTTCTATATCTCAATCCAAGATGCCAACAGAGACCTCAATATTAAATTTGAGGATTCCAGCTCTATTCGTTCACCCAATATCAAATTTGGTACAATTTAGTACTTTTCGTACAAATATTGGACGAATTTCCAAACCAACGCTAAATCTGAAACACAGATACAATCAGTAATCTACCTGTCAAATTTCAGAGTTGTATCTCCATCTGCTCACCCAATGGCAAACATAGTACCATTCAGTACTTTTCGTACAAATATAGTACTCATTTCCAATCCTACTGTCAAATCTCAATCATATATGCTAAGAAAGACCTCAATACAATATTTAAGGACTCCACTACTACCCTTCACCCAGTACCCAATTTAGTTCCACATTGTACTTTTTGAACAATTATAGTAAACATTTCCAAACCCACCTCTACATCTCAATCCAAGATGCCAACACAGGCCTCAATATCAAATTTGAGGATTCCAGCTCTATACCTTCATCCAATATCAAATTTGGTACAATTTAGTACTTTTCGTACAAATATAGGACAAATTTTCAAACCAACGTTAAATCTCAAACACAGATACAATCTGTAAACTCTGAAGAGTTTTATCTCCAACTCCTCACCCAATGGCAAACATAGTACCATTCAGTACTTTTTGTACAATTATAATACACATTTCCTGTGGTTAAAATATGGAGTTGATATCTTAACCACAGACACCAACAGTGACTTCCATATCACATTTCAGGTTTCCTGCTCTATTCCTTCACCAAATTTAGTACCACATTTAGTAGTTTTCTAAAAATTATAGTACGCATTGTAAAACAACTTCCATATCTCCCAAGATACCAATACAGACCTCAAAACCGAAAATCATGATTCCAGCACAAAGTGATACCTATATTAAATTTGAGGATCCCATTTCTACTCCTTAACCCAATACCAAATTAGGAACGATTTAGTACTTTTCGAATAACAAAAGCACGCATTTGCAAAAACTTCACCAGATCTCGGCACAAGATACCAACAGACACCCCAATTATAAAAATTATGGTACGCATTGCAAAACAACTTCCATATCTCTCCAGATCCCAATACAGTCCTCAATACCGAAAATCATGATTCCAGCTTCATACATTCACTCATAAGCAAATTTAGTACTGTTCGTATAACATTGGTACAAACCTCCGCCAAGTCTCAAACAAAGATGCCATCACTAATCTAAATATCGAATTTCCGAATTGCATCTCTTTCCTTCAGTCAATACCAAATTTAGTACCATTTAGTACTTTTTCTTTAAACGCAGGACGCATTTCCAAACCCACCTTCAAATCTCAATACCAGACACTAGCAGATACCTCAATATCAAATTTCAAGATTTCAAGTCTATCCCTTTCACCAAATACAAAATTTAGTACCACTTAGTACTTTTCGTACAAATAGAAAGCTTTTCAAAACCCACCGCCAACTGTCAATCCCAGACACCAACAGAGACCTCAATATCAAATTTCAGGATTTCAAGTCTATCCCTTCACCAAATACCAAATTTAGTACCACTCAGTACTTTTCGTACAAATATTGTACGCATTGCCAAACCCAACTCCAAATCTTAGCTTCAGGGACTTTTGTCTCAAATTGAGGCCTTCATTTGTACCATTGCGTACTTTTCGCACAAATATAGTACACATTTCCAAACCACCGCCAAATCTTAATTCCAGATACCAAAAGAGACCTCTATATCAAATTTCAGGATTTCTGCTCTTTCCCTTCACCCAATACCAAATATAGTACCATTTAGTACTACAACTATAATAAATATGTTCAAAACCACATCCATATCTGAATTCTATACATCAACAAAGTCCTCAATGTAAAGTTTCAGAATTGTATCCCCATTCTTTCAACCAATAAAAAATGTAGTACCATTTAGTACTTTTCGTATAATTAAAGTACACATTTGCGAAACCTCCTCCATATGTCCTTATAGCAAATTTCGGATTTCAAGCACTATCTGCTCATCCAATACCCAATTGTACCAAATGCAGTACCATTTAGTAATTTTCGTGCACTTGTAGTACGCATTTCCAAAATCACCTCTTTATCACAAACCAACCACCAATAGGGGCCTCAATACAAAATTTCAAAGTGGCATCTTCATCCGTTTACCCTAAACCAAACTGTTCCAAATTTGGTACTATTTAGTACAGCTTGGTACATATTTCCAAAAACCAATAGCTTTCATCAACCCCTTTTCCTAGAATTGAGTCCCATCCCGAATTTCAGGAATTTACCACTATCTGTTCACATAATTCCAAATGGTACTAAATTTAGTGCTTAGTACTTTTAGTACCCATATTGTTACAATTTCGCAAAACCCTTTACTTTGTCTATCCTACATAAAATCAAAGACGCGCACTCCCATTTTAAGATTTCCAGCTCCAATCCTTCCCCAAACATTAAAGTCCTATTTAGTACTATTCGTACCTTTCGCGTCGCAGCCGCGTCGCAGTGGCCGAAAAATGGCTCGTGAGCTGAACATATCGCAATATTCCATTCGGCAAATATTGAAAAGCTGAGCTTGGGGTAAAGCCATAACAGCCGATGGTCACTCTCAGTTAGTATTGATCGTGGCATCAGAATAAATGCCGAATATTATCGCAAAAATATTCTGGAGGGTGTATTAAAGCCTTTGGCACGCAAACAATTTGGCCACAGACCTTGGACATTCCAACAGGACAGGACTCAGCACCATAGCACTCAGCACGAACCACCCAAGAATGGTTACAAAATGAGGTTCCTCGCCTCATTTCCAGCACACAATGGCCACCAAAAACTTCGGATACCAATCCGTTGGACTATTGTGTCTGGAGTATTTTTGAAAGCAAGGTTGGCACTACAAAATACCAAAGTGTCGATCACCTCAAGCAAGGGCTTCGCCGGGAATGGGCCAAAATACCGCAGAGCAACATTCGGGCAGTGTGTGACGGTTTCATTGGCCATAATCCGTGCTAAATGTGACCGATTCGAACAAATCTAAACTTATTCTAAATTTGATGCTATTTGCGACATTTTTTGCTTTCATTCCTTGAAATTAAAAAAAAGTAAAAATTATGGCGTTTGACTTTGTTGCATTTTTTTATCTCACCCTGTATGTTACCCAAATTTACATTATTACTACCTTGGGTAACACCCAATACTGGCCCTGCACCTGCCATCTATGTTCTCCGCTCTCCCATGCCTCTGTTAACAATATGTGACGTTAATATTGATGGCAATGATGACACTTCAAAATAATTAAGAAATCAGTAATACTGATTTCCATAAGGGTCTTCCGAGGTAGGCAAGCAGGTACTTTCAATGTTTTAATGTAGTGGCAGCCACTACCTTTGCATCCTCCACCACCTCCGCCACCTCCTTCGAGGTTAATATAGAAGTAATTGTGAATAGGATGTAATGTGACGATGTCACAAGGCTGTTGCAACGTGTTGCCGACACGAGTGGCAAAAAGCTGATAACGCTGACGATGATGATGATGAGTTAAACAAACATTGAGATGTGATGATGTCGCAGCATCACAGTATGGCGTGCATAATGAATTTATAACTTAATGTGATTAAAGGGGGGATTTCATAATTCTGCAGTAAGTAGTAATGGCAACAAGAGCCGTACACTCGTCGAACGAAGAAAATAAAAACAAACATTCCACCATCGCGTGGATGCTTCAAACATAAGTTCAAATGTGAACAACAACTAGGCAGAGCGAGAGTAAATCAAGAGAA